AAGACCGTCATCATCGCAACACATCGTCTGCATCTAGTATTTCCTGAGCACTACTATGGCCGGCACCGTGCAGGACTCGCATTCAGCAGGAACAAATAAAAGACTGCCGCCTTTGCGACAAGTAAACAGATACCATGAGACAAGGTATCCTCAGCTTAGGAGGAAAATGAAACCAGCCGTGAGGTCAAAAGGACTGGGTAGGGGAGCTGTTTTAAACAGCTCATCGAGAAACTGAATATAAGAAAAGGAAACCAGTCACAGCATGGAAGGGCACCAGGCGGAAAAAAACTGGAATGGCTCGTCAAAGGCCCTGGGGTAGGAGCGACACTCATCCATTCCAGGAAACAGAAAGAGCGGTGGGGGGCTAGCTACAGCGGAAAGGCAGCAGCAAAGTGGGACGGTGGGGATCGGGGCCGGTCATACCATGTGGACCCCCAAGGGAGTCTGGGCTTTAGGTGCCACGGCCTCTGAGTTTCAACCAGGGCAGGCTGTGCGTTTCTAATGTCATCCGTGGTTCGATTCCTGGGTAATAAAACCTCCAATTTGAACTCTCATTAGGTCATTCACTTATCAAGAGAAAAGTGGGCCACAGGACGGGCTGTCTGAGGGCATGAACCCACTTTCTCTAAGCTGGAGGACGCGTGTGCAGGGGGCAGGTGTGTGGCGCGCTCACTAAGGACTGCAATTCCTGGGGGCCTCGCTGGCCTAGGCGGCTTACAGCGACCGGTCGCGGACGGGACCGGGAACTCGTGGTCGCGCACGATGCGTAGGAGCGCCCAGTCTCTTCCTGCCGCTTGGCCTTGACCTTCTCTCACTGGCCTGCTCCAAGGTCCACCGACACTGGCCATTGGGCGTGGCCGCCACCTCAGGCACCAGTCCCTGCGGATTCCCCGCGGGACGATGCCGGGTCCCCGGCCTGCGCACCGGCTGCAGGGCGGAGCAGGCTGACTGACCCGTCTGTGGACTTGGGGCAGGGGCTGACGCGGACGCCCAGTGTGGTGATAACGCCAGGCCTGCGCCCACTGCCTTCCGACGTGCTATCTCATTTAACCTTCAAGCAAGGGCGACTGCCTTTCCTTCCTGCCACGGTGCCGGTGAGATCCAAGCAGCTTTGCCAAGCTTGGGCGTTCATCAGACTTAGCAGATGCCAAACTGAATCTCTGGCCTCTGTGGTACGGCAGATAAAGGGTCCCTGAAGCTGATCCACGCCCCAATCCCCAGAACTTGTGACTATGGGACCTTACACAGCAAAAGCGGTTTTGCAGGTGTAATTAAGTTACGGACCCTGACATTGGGAAGACCATCCTGCCAATGTCACCCAGGGGACCTGTAAGAGGGGGGCGGGAGGGTACGGCCGGAAGCATGAGAAAGCCCGCAGCCGCTGCGGCTTCGAAGGTGGGGACGGGGCCGTGAACCAGGGCACGCAAGGTGGCTTCAGCTGTGAGCTGTCACTCCATACCTTCAACAACCAAGTCCCTCCTACCCAGCAGGCCTTCGTTCACTAGTTCAACCCCTAGTCACTTCCTACCCGAGGCCGTTGCGACGGCCATTCCAGCTACCTGGTGCCCTTCCCATGGGCTTTTGCAAGGAAGAAAAACCCCGCCGTTTTCCGGGGAGTACCAACGCTGCGAGAGGGTGGCACGAACCACACACGCTCACGCAAAGGACTGGAAATTGGACGTCTTTGTTTGCCTGATTACTGAGTAGCTGAAGGCAGCTTTTGTTTTTTTGTAACCTGCACCTGACACATTCATTGTCTTCAATAAATGAATCGAACGATGAGCGGCAGAGTTCCCAGCCATGGAGGAGCATCTGAGAGAGCTCGGGATGGGTCACTCCGAGCCTCCTCTGGCTCAGCAAACGAGAACGAGTTGGTCGCCCGACCATGCACGAGGGAGCGTCTTCCTCCTGGAAGAAGATCCCACACGTCCGATTCCATGGGAGCTTTTGCCCCCAACAGATTAAGGAGCAGGAAGTTGCGTCCATCCTCAACGAGAAGCAGAGAGACTGTCCACGGTGACGAGATTGTCTGAAGAACCACCAACGACGTCGCTGTCAGACAGGGGGTGTCTTGTGAGTGAGCCTCACAGAGCAGCATGACGCTAGCACTCACTGGCAGGCGGAGCCCGCGCTGTCTCTGCACCGGAGCGCGAGGCCACGCGCCGCCTGAGCTGCCAGAAGGGACGGGCGACCTGCTCCCGGATGGCAACCGGAGGAACGTCCCTGGTGGTGTCACAGACCCGCCGCCAGGTAGGAGATCTCAACACGCTCGAGAGCAGCAGAAGAGAGACATTCCTTCGGTGGGCCTGGGCGACAGTGCTTTGCTCCTGTCCCTGGAGGGTTTCTGGTTTTTTTTGTTGTTGTTGTAGGCTGTGCCATAAAATTTAATAACCTCAGTTTCAACTGAGATGACATCTCTATGTGTGCAATATGTATAAATATACACAGTACATATATGTATAGACAGATAAAAGACAAAACTGTAAGGAAGCCATCAAAACGTTTGATGTGACGTATCATTATCTCTGGATGATGGAATAACAGGCATGTTTATTCATCTTCATGTTTTCTGATTTTTCCAATTTTATACAATGGTAACCTCTTTCTTTTTATTCACAGACTCTTCAAGCGGGGAGGGCCAAGCAGGGACACACGGACTGATTCTCCTTCCATCCCTTCCTCTGAGTTTCCGCTCTCCCTAGACCACCAGGTCTCACAGCTGAGTCTTCCCTGGGTTGTCACTTTTCCGGCTCTTGATCTGGCTGGGCAGATATCCTGGACAGTTTCCAAGGGGGGAGTCCAGACATCTCTCTCTTTCGGATCTATTTTCTCAGCCCTTTGTAGCCTTCCACTGCCAGGCAACCAAGTCCTCCTCTGCCAGGCAACAGGCCGATAACGGCAAAGCTGCCGGCGGCCGTGGGAGGACGGCTCCCGTCCCAGCGGTCCGCCTCGTGCCACAGGCCGGCAATCCCTGCCGACCACACTCGACTCCCGAAACACGCCTTCCTCTCCTCTCTCTTCTCCACAGCCGTCCTGTCCCCAGGCCTCGTGACAGGCACGAGGTGTCCTCCCTTTTCTCAGGGCCGGCGCAACGTGAACACCTGTGATGTTTATTCACCGATGGCGGCACGGAGGCGGCAACCTGTCCTGCCCCCGATGCGTGCTGGCTGTGTCACTGGGGTGACTGGCGTAACCCCCGACCCCTCTTCAGTAAGCGTGCGGGTCGTCACAGGAATGTCCTCTGAGCACTTCCAAGGAGCCGGTTGAAAGCGTTTCATGTGCATGACACAGTGACCCTAACAAGCCCTTCCGAGGGCCCTGTTACCACATTCCCCAGTGGACGGCGGACGGAGGGTCTGGGGCTGCGGTCCTGCCCCAAGTCCCTCGGCTGTAGACAGCAGGGCCAGACTGCCACCCAGAGCAATCTGCACCGGCCTATATGGGGCAAATAATGGAAGTTAAAGAGCTATTGTGAAGTTTAAATAAGATCAAAGAGCTTAATGCCAGGTTGGTGCTCAGTAGATGTTAATAACACAAAGACACTTGGGAGGCTCGAGGCCGGCATCATTTGAGCTCGGAGTTCAAGACCACCTGAGCAAGACGACACCGTCTCTACTAAAATAGAAAGACCGGTGTGGTGGCTCACGCTTTATATCCTAGCACTCTGGGAGGCCAAGCGGGCTGATTGCTCGAGGTCAGGAGTTCAAAACAGCCTGAGAGAGACCCGTCTCTACTAAAAATAGAAAGAAATTAATTGACCAACTAAATACACATATATACAAAAAATTAGCCGGCATGTGTGGGGCATACCTATAGTCCCAGCTACTCGGGGGCTGAGGCAGGAGGGATCTTGAGCCCAGGAGTCTGAGGTTGCTGTGAGCTGGGCTGACGCCACGACACTCTAGCCCCGGCAACAGAGTGAGCTCTGTCTCAAAAATAAGCAACAACCCAAAGACACGCCACAATCGTCACTTCAC